TTTTTTGCCACAGACTGGAGTTTCCATTACGAACTCTAAATGCGTAATTTGAAAAAAATTTGGTAAATAAAGACGCTAAAATCACCAAAATACCGAATATAGGGAGGTACCGTTATATGGGGGCTATACGAAGACGTAGACCTGAACAGACAATTTTCTGTCTTAGGCAGTAGTATCCATTGCGAACTTCAAATACCAAATTTTGAACAATTCCGATTAATAATGTCCCTAAAATCATGAAAATACCCCAAATATCGGGAGGTGCAGTTATATGGGGGCTATACGAAGACGTGGACCTGCACAGACAATTTTCTGTCTTAGGCTGTAGTATCCATTTCGAACTTCAAATACCAAATTTGAAACAATTCCTGTGAATAATGTCGCTAAAATCATCAAAATATCGAATATCGGAGGTACCGTTATATGGGGGCTATATGAAAACGTGGACCTACATGGCCCATTTACGAACTTAACCTGCCTACTGTAAAAATAAACCCGTGTGCAAAATTTTAGCCTTGTATCTCAATTCATTCGAAAGATAGCGTGATTACAACAGACAGACAGACAGACAGACAGACGGACAGACAGACAGACGGACAGACAGACGGACATCGCTAAATCGACTTAGAATTTTACGCTGATCAAGAATATATATACTTTGTTGTGTCTGACATGAGTATTTCGAGGAGTTACAAACGGAATGACAAAGTTAATATACCCTCCACAGTATGGTGGAGGGTATAAAAACAGGTTCTAAATGAACTATTTGCCTTCTTTATAGTTCCTACCATCCAGATTGTCGAGGGTACTCCGTCGTACTACTCCCCTGCTACATAATATTTATCTACAGACAGCAAGACCTTAAGATTTTTAAACCTTCAGCCATATGGCTAAAGAGGGTACATATCATTTGATACGTCGAAAACGTGTCTCATCGAAATAACGATTTTAGACCTTAGGTCTCTTTGGACCAAATCCGTTTTTTGGTATTTGGAGTCGATCTAGAGATGTCCGTTCGTCTGTCTGGCTGGCTGGTGCACACAATAACTCTCGATGAAAGTATCCGATTTGATCCAAACTTAGTACATCGTAATATTATTGTCAAACTTTGATTGAGTTCGGAAATGGGCAATATCGGCCCACTCCTTCTGCTACCTCCTCCACAAAATGTCAACATTTTCAAAGAAAATATTTTACTGCACAGCTAATCCGATTTTGCCTCAATTTTGTAAATCCTGATATGCGCATCAGTTCAAGGTAAGGTGCGAAAATGAATAATATAGATCCACCCTTATAAAATGCGATGATTTTAAATTATACACATCACATATTTTGTTAACCCAAGGACTGGTGTGAAGATGGAATACATCGTTCCACGCCTTCAGGTATCTCCACCACAAAGGGTCAGCATTTTTAATGTCAATGAAGCTTTTTAAACAAGAATCTAACAACCGATTCAATTCATACAACACAAGATCTGTTTTAATTATGGGTTAGACGGGCCATTCCTTCTATTACCTCCTCCACAACGGGTCAATGCTGAAGCTCCTAAAACGCGAAACTAACATCCGATTTCATTCAGACTTGGCAAATCTCAACATTTCTACCAACACAAGATCTGTTTTAAAGATGGTAGAGATAGGAATATTCCTTCTGGTACCTCCCCTACAAAGAATCAACGTTTCGAATGACCAAAACGATTATTAAATCCGGTCCTCTTCAAATTTCACACATGCCAATATTTTTACAAATACAAGATCTGCTGTGAAAATGGGATAAATCGGTCAAAACCCACAAAGGGTTCAGGAGGAAAAGAAAACTCCCATAAAACACGAAGTAAGCGTCCAATTCTCATCAAATTTCACAAATTCAAACATTTTTGCTAACGCAAAATCTGTTGTGAAGATGATAGATATCTACCAACCCGGTCTGGTACCTCAACCACCAAGGGTCACAATTTCCAATACTTATATGTCATAATTGCGAAACAAGTCAGCGATTCTATACGTCTTGCATTTTCTTTCTTTCTTTATTCAATTAATTCTTAATACTAAAGCTTCCAAGGCCAAATTCTAAATATTTTCCTTCGCCAAAAATCTGATATGAACATGTAATTTATCGGAATTTATGATTTCGTATAATATTGGATATATATAGCAATTTTTTTATCTATATTAGATGAAGTGAAATATTTCGGTCCGCTATATCTGGTACCTCACACCTATTTCCACCTTTTCCAAAAAGTTGCACGTATCTCATATAAGTAGACGATATAGTCCAAATATGACACGGTGTAATATTTATATCAGTGTTTCGATCGTTAAGTCGTTCAGGTGTTGAAAAATATAGCGGAAAACATCCAAATCTACAATTCTAAATTGGTTTAAAAATTCGAGGATTTCGTTTCTAATATCCATAATTTTTGTTCTGATATCCATTTAAATATAATTTTTTAAAATATTAAAAATTCACGAGATGGTCTTTAGAAAAAAAGCCAGGTAATCCTTTAAAAATGGTGGCTGAAAGACACCCTGAAAAAGACGTTGAAAAACATAGGGGAAAATCCAAATCAACAATTCTGGCTCTGGTTTCGTCTACAAAAAATTATACATAGGAAATGAAGTATTCTGGCCCTGATAAGGTTTAAAACAGATATTTTTAAAAATCCTTAAGATTACTTTTGAAGTAATGCCGATTTTGGATAATATGAATTAAAAATTATTTAAAAAATGGAAGATTTCGGTTCTAAGAACCGAAATATTGTTTTTGGTATTCATTTATAAAAAATTTTGAAAAATAAGATGAAAAAATCACGATTATAACACAGGTGGTCTTTAGCTAAAATGTCTAGAAAATTCTTTAAAAATGACGGCTGATGATATCCTGGAAAAGTCTACGATTAAGGCTCTAAAAATCGTTGAAAAACATAGCGGAAAACATTTAAATATTCAATTTCATCCACAATTTTGTTTCTGATATTCGTTTGAAAAAAATTTTTGAAAAAAAAGTCGAAAAATCCACGACATAACGCAGATGGAGTTTAGAAAACATTCCTAGAAAATTCTTTTTAAAAGTATGGCTGAAAGGTATCCTGAAAAAGTCTACGATTAAGGCTCTAAAAGTCGTTGAAAAAGTATGTTGAAAAACATAAAGAAAAATCCAAATCTACAATTGTGATTTTTGAAATAATCTTAAAAACGAAGGATTCTGGGACTGATATGACTTGAAAATAAAATTTTTTTAAAAAGTACTTAAAATTACTTTTGAAATAATGCCGATCTTGGTTAAAATGAATTAAAAAATTATTTCAAAAAAAAAAAACTCGAAGATTTCGATGCGAGGATTCCACAAATTTTGTTTGTGGCATTCATTTAAAAATATTTATTGAAAAAAGCTGAAAAATTCACGATTATCCAGATGGTCTTTAGAAAACATGTCTAGAAAATTCTTCAAAAATGATGGCTGAAAGATATCCTTAAAAAGTCTACGATTAAGGCTCTAAAAGTCGTTGAAAAACAAAGAGGAAAATCCAAATCTACAATTCTGGCTCTGATTTTTTAGTTTAATAATCTTAAAAAATTAAGTATTCTGACAATCATGTGGTTTAAAAATAAATATTTATTAAAAGTCCTTAAAATTACTTTTGAAATAACGCCGATTCGGGCTAATATGAAATAAAAAATTATTTAAAAAATTGAAGATTTCGGATCTAACAACCCATAATTTTGTTTCTGGTATTTATTTAAAAATAATTTAAAAAAAAAAGTGGAAAATCCATGATTATCCAGATGGTATTAGAAAACATACCTAGAACATTCTTTAAAAACGATGGCTGAAAAATATCCTGAAAAAGTCTACGATTAAGCTCTATAAGTCCAAATCTACAAATCTGGCCGTAATTTTTGAAATAATCTTAAAAACGAAGGATTCTGGGACTGATATGCCTTGAAAATAAATATTTTTTAAAAGTACTTAAAACTAATTTTGAAATTACGCCGATATGAATTAAAAAAAAATCGAAGATTTCGGCTCTAAGAATCCACAATTTTGTTTCTTGTATTATTTAAAAATAGAACAGTGTTGGCTTGTTTGTTCGGGATACCGTAGTATGTTGTGGTTGCAAAATGGTTTAAAAATAATTTTTGAAAAAAGGTTAAAAATCCACGATTATCCAGATGGTTTTTAGAAAAACCTACGTTTGTGGCTCTGGTGGTCCTTGAAGATCAACGTGAAAACTTTTTTTTAAAATCCTGATTGTTTAAAAATTTTCCAAAGTACTTAATCGATATTTTTTTAAAGGTCCTCGGGATATTGAAAAAATGTTTTTTAACAAAATTCACGTTGGATACTCAGAAGTTTCTTAAAAAATATTTTTGAAGAATCCACGTTGATTACTCAGAAAAAAATATTTTTTAAATATCCATGTTGGTCACTCTCATAGTCCATGAAAAAATATCCACATTGTTAAGACCTTACAAAAATATTTAATAAATTCCCGTAAAATGTGCAGAACGTTCTTATCTAAAGAATACAAGTTGAAAGTCCTTGAAAAAAATATTTTTTTGAAAAATCCACATTGGCTTGAGAGATGGTCCCTGAAAATGTACTTTAAAAAATCCACGGTCTGTCTACTTAGAAGGTGCTTTAAAAATATCTTTAACATTTCCTAATTAACAACTCAGTAGGCTACTGAACAAAAATGAATAATCCAAAAGCTCCTTAAAATTCCTTTGGACTTTGGAATCAGAAATTCATTTTGATCGCAAAAATGCTACTTTAAATATTTTCAAAAAATCCACGTTCATTACTCTGCTATTTCTCCAGATACGAAATTGAAGCCCATTGACAAAAAATATTTGTAACGAAAATTTGGGGATGTTAACTTGACAGAAGACCCCAAGTTGAAATTCATTATTTCATTAAGTCAACTAAGACTCGTTAAAATAAAAAAAAATTATTTAGAATTTAAGAAAAAAAAAATATTTCATAATTTCACATACCTGAACCATTTTGAAGTCCTTTTAAATATATTCGCTGGTAATTCCGCCAAAAATATATAGTGTAGTTGTTGTTGTTCACAACACAAGTAGCTGCAGCAAGTGTTACGACGAGAAGTCAATGTCAAGTCCAAAAACTGAATTTCCTTTGCCGGCAATAAAAAGGGGAAGGGTCTACAGGCAATTGGAAACGTTGGTTATATTTTTTTTTACAAAAAAAATTGCACTATTATTATTCTTATGGGTTTTCGCTTAATCTAAGACATATAAAATTTAACACTTGTTTTGTTTCATTGATTTATTTAATTTATTTACAATGTAAAATATTGTATTTTTCAAGATATTTTTAAGTATAAAACACTAATTTGTGCACGAAATTTACAGGGATTCTTGTATTTTTATTTATTCAGAATAATTTTTCTTTACAACACACTTCTTTTGTTTTGTTTTGATTACGACCAAGTAAGTTGTGAGTTATGTGGTAAAGGGGGAATGAATATTTTAATATGCCTCTTCTTCTTCTTATTCTTTAAATTACACAAACAAAAAAACACGTGCTAAAAAATATGTTGTGTTTTTCTTATTATTGGCCACGGCTCACTCACTCTCTCTCACGCGTTTTTTTCTTCTTCCTTTTCTTTACAACTAAAGAAGTTTGAGGGTTATATTTTTGTTGTGTTTTTTATTATTATTATTATTTACAAATATTATTGATTATTGCAAAATATTTTTGTTTTTTATTATTTTATTAAAGCCCGTTGAATAAAATTTATGTTTTATTTTTTTAATGTGAATGAAATTCTACAAATTAGCGCGTTGTTGTTTCGCGTGCTCTCCCGTCAAAAGTCGAAGACAAAAACAATGCAAAAACGGGCATAGGGATACGTAGGTCGACTTTTGATTAATCGTTTGAAAAGCATAAACATCGATGTTGACTTTGATCGGTGGTGAAAATTGCAAAGTTGATTTTTCAGTAATCGATTTGCAATTTTGAGATAAATGATTTTTGGCCGATTTTTCATTTAAATACGAGGCAAACATCAGGAGTGTGCTTAATTAACAATAACATAAAAGGCGGGGAATAGGTAGTGTCCTCGGCAAATTTTACATGAAAAATTGAAGAAAATTGGCGCTTTTTCTGGCCAAAGTATTGGAATGTGATATCCTCCTGAATTTCAATAGCTCACTGGTATATAAAACAGTTTTGTCCACTTCTACCTTCCATTGAGCCCTTAAATTTCATTGTCCTAAAAGCATGTTTATAGTATCACATTTCTGGATCTAATGGTTCTTAAAAAATATTCTTTAAAAATGCACGTTTATTTATTGAATAAATATGTTTAAAAAAAGAGGTTTGAAAATACAGGCTTATATATTGGGTAATCCTTAAAAAAATTTGTTAAAAAATTCATATTTATTGCTTCGGGGGTCCATAGAAAAAAATATATTCTTACTTACCTTGCTGGTCCTTGAAAATCTCTTAATAAATAAATTAATTTTCAGTTTGATTTATCACATTTATTTAAATTTGAATTTAATTATATACACAGAAAATACTTGAAGTTTTATCTCAATTCTAGTTCTATCTAATTTTGAAGGCATCCATTGTAGGCTTCAATTTCTCGTATTAGTTCCGAATAATTATTCAACATTGTCTTCCATTCCTTGGTGAACACAATACTGGCCAGATTCAATTTAATGTAATGAAAACATCGTTTCTTTAACGTCAACGCCGAATGCTGATCGGCCAATACCAATGTGGGCAAGACCGTTTCATTCGATATCTCATTGTTGAGGACCATTTCGCACAAGCACTTCAGCTGTTCCACATCATATTTATCCGCTGCTGCCAGTAGTTCGCCGGCCATACCCTCAATGTTCGGCGCACTATCCGAGTACATAAAGATGAGCATTTCTTTGATGACCACCGGTTCAAAATCATTGATGAGTATTTGATTGGTTTCATTTTCGGTCATTGTTTCGTGTTCAAACATGGCTGAGAAGACACTGCTACGTAGACTTAATATGGCCTTGTGGGCATACAACTCCTCGCCCTGGACAACTAAGGTGACATCGCTAAACTTGCCAGAATCCAAAAGTTTGGCCATGCGTTCATGCAGCGCCGAGCCGGCAATTTTCAAACCCTCCCACGGTGAACTGTGTATGGCATCAATCATAAGGGTTAGCTCACATCTCAGAAATAGGTTACCATTTGTTACTAGACCCCGTGCTGGACTGCGTAGCTCGGAGAGAGTAATTTTCCTTGGGAATACCAAAGAACCCTGGGCCGATCCATTGCCATTCCATTTTCCCAGCGAATCATCTATGCAGCCATTGGGTTTTAATATTTTAAATTTGATTTTGAATTTAACACAAGACTGATTTGAGGCAACCATTTTTACCAGCAACACAACGTAGCCCTCAGCCTGGCTCATAACAATTTGCCATCGGATTTGACTGTCTTTGCTGGCGGGCGGAAAAATCGGCGATTCCACTTGCGACTTGAACGAATTAAATTTTTCAATTTTCCACACATACTGCAGACGAGATACGGTGACACGATCGCAGAACCATGATTTTTTGGTTTTATCACTTGATGATCGATGCAGAGAACAGTTGTTGACGGCTGCTGCTATTGTAGAGGATGGTGATGTCATGTCACGGCGGTGTCTGAAAGAGAACTGTTACGTTGCAACAGCCATTGCTTACCCACTTTAGAATATGGAAATCAGGGCAGGTACAATGGAGTGAGTAGGGAAATGAGGTTGACAGGTAAGAATGGATTACTAAATATGGTGGCATTTCCAACAGCTGCAATTTGCTAATTGTTCTTGGAAGGATGCGACAGACCTTTTTTGGAAGAATTATTAGTTTTTCATCAACATATTTTAATTTAATTAAATGTAAAAAAACTATCTCAATATTCGTTTTTAAAATCGAATGCATCTCATCAATAGGCTTGGATTTTTTGAAGAATATTTTTCAATACCCGACCCAACGTGGATTTTTTAAAAAATATTTTTTCAACATCCATCCCAGCAATAAACGTGGAGTTTTTAAACGTGGATATTTTAAAGAATATTTCCTAATTCCGTTCCAAGGCCTATAAAAGTGGGTTTGTGATTTGGTTCAAAAATCGCAAATTTTCAAAATATCATCCCAAAAGTTTTGCATTTTTTTCTTGTTTTATTTAAGGACAAATAATTTTGTGATAAAACATGATTTGATTTTTCATCGAATACTGAAATACATATGTTTCCAGGCAACGAATTAATAACGTAAGCTACCTGTTTCTGAAAAAAAAAAAAAACACAGGTAAGCTCATGCCAATTCTTTTATATGTGCCTTTGAAACAAAACATTTTCCTTTTAGTTTTATTCGGACATTTGCCATAGCACATTTGCCTTGCCGTTCCCAACGAAATCCTATGGCATCCAATTCCAATACAAAGAGGACCTGCATTCTACACCACTGCCCCTCCGCAAAGCGGCCAAGGATCGATGAAGGCGATTTTTGGTTTTGTGACCGAATCAAAGTCAGCAAATTCGCCTATGTCTGGAAAATAGAAAATTTCAATTATTTCAATGGTGAGACCATCTCCCCCATATTTACCAATGAAAAATCCAACGACATCAAATGGCAACTGGCCATAACGAAAATTGGCAAGATTGTCATATTAAAATTGAAATTGGTATGCTGTGATCAATGCCAGGTGAAATTTAAATTCCGGGGTTCAATGGAAAATCGAAGTGGACAAACTTGTTCCAACATTGGCAAGGATAATCTCTATACGGCTGTGGCGAAAGATGTCTTTATATTTCCGCGACCCATTGAAATTGAGGAGGACAGCCAGGAAGATCCCACAGACGACAATCTCTCGGTACGTTGTGAAATCTGTGTGATTGATGATGTCATTGATATGCCACTAAATGATTTTTCCATTAACTCCCACGATGAGGCGGATCTATTCCAGAATATGGGCAAACTTTTAGAAAGTGGAAAATTCAGTGATGTCACACTGATGGTGAGCGGACAAGAGTTGAAGGCCCATAAAAACATATTAAGCATGCGCAGCGAAGTGTTTGCAGCCATGTTTGAACACCAGACCATGGCGGAGAACAAATCCAATTGTGTTGACATTAATGATTTGGACCACACAGTGGTGCGGGAAATGCTTACCTTCATCTATACAAATCAAGCACCGAATGTCGAAGAAATGCCCATGGATCTATTTGTGGCAGCGGATAAATACTCCCTGAAGAGACTGAAACTAATGTGTGAAATAATATTGAATCGTGAACTGACATGTGACACAGCGCTGACAATACTTATTTTGGCCGATCGTCATAATTCCGAAATTTTAAAGTTAAGGACAATACATTTTATAAAAACAAATTTGGATGCGGTTATGACGAGCAAAGACTGGCACACGATGACTGCAAGGTATCCTCAATTAATAGAAGAAATTCAAAACTATAATGGCTGTGTTGAAAGAAATTGAAATCTGAATTTGATTTGGTTAATAAAAAACAGTTATTAAGTATTACCGAATTTTATTAATAAAACATATTTTAAGTCTTAAATCTGCTTAAAAAAAGAAAAACTAAAACCTAAAAAATCTAATATCCTTACCAAACTTAAATTCTTAAAAGATTACCTTTTAATATCCTTACAAAAAGAGATTTTAAATATTTATTTTCGATTTAGATTGCTCCGATAGATTTTAATATTTCGTCTTAAAATTCTATGCAGATAGCCTTTGAAAAATTATTTCCCACGTTGATTGTGCAATTAATACAAGTATATTTTTTTGATTGCGTTGGAAAGCGCTAGACAACAATTGATTTGATTGTTCTTAAATACTATATTAAAAATATTCTGAAAACCGCGTTGCTCTATCTGATAATTTTGTAATCAAAAATCCTTCTTGACTGCTTCGCCAGGCTCTAAGTTTAATCCTTTGGAGTTTATTCCAGTTTGGTACTTTGTTTATTCAGGTCACTTGTTGATCCCTAACAAAGGTTGCCGCTCCCGTGATTATACTGTTTCAAAATGTAATTTTCAACCTTTTTAGTGTCTTCAAATTCTGCACCAATGGCCTTAAGAAATATTTAAAAAATTTGCACATTGATTGTCCAAGTCCAATCAATTCAAGTTTATTCCTTTGATTGCCTTGGAAAGCACTAGACGTCATTTGATTGTCTCTAAATACTATTTGAAAAATTCTCTCCAAAAACCCATGTAGCTCGTTCTGATGATATTGGAAAAAATGATGTTAATACAGATGATTGGAAAAATATTCTTCGAAGAATCTCAATTTGATCCTTTGTAGTTTATCCAGTTTGGCGCTATGTTTATTCAGGCCACTTTTCGATCTGTTGATCCCTAACAAATGTTGCCGCTCCCGTAATTATATCGTTCCAAAATGCAATTTTCAAACTTTTTAGTGCATAAAAAAACATTTGCTTGTGTTTTATAACTAATATTTGTAACAAGGGATCGAATTTCTTAGAAAATGGTCTCATAAAATAAATTTATTATTTTTCAACTTGAACTATCGATCTCTATTTCGGGATATCAATTCACGAGGAATGTCAAGTATTTTCTTATAGGACGTTTAGAAAAGCCTTCAGGAGCTAAGATTGTGACAACAGATCAAGATCTGTCTGGATTTAGGCAATTTGTGTTTCTATCTTAAATTCCCCAACAAAAATGTCTTCAATTTAAAATCCGCATCCACATAATTGTACCGCCAGCTCTAAGGTATTTACAGATTTTGATCCCATATCTCAAAGAACTTGTTTATAATACATTACTAGAAGATTTTATTGAGTAAGTCAGCTCCGTACGAATGGTTTTCCTTCCTATTTGGTATCCACGAAGCGTCTACTAGCTTGATTACTGGGCATTCTTAAACATGTTTTGATTGGTTGAAACATATTTGCCGCAAAATTGAAATGCCATGGCGAATGTATGTTTTTCGCCTTAGATGCTTATTTTGACATTTGAGGGTACCACAAAAGTTGCTTTGTTGTAGCAATTCGCTGATGCGGTTAATTGTTAAATCTACCTTGGAAATGTTTCATTACATTTTCTGCCGATTTATATGGTGTTTGCAGATCTGTTTTTGTTTATTCTCATATGGTTATTTTCAATAATCCTATATTCTTGTTCTTCATTATCGCCTTTTTGCCGTTTTCTAGACCCTGATTTTAGGCCACGAACGATTCTACTTGTTGTTATATGTGCATCCATATGTCTTAACGCAACGGAACTTAATGGACTCACAAACTGTAACTATTTCTTATCGTTCCCTTCAGTGAACAGTTCCCTTGAACTAGTTCGTTCCGCAACCTCACATCTCTAGTTACAACAATAAAATAAAAAACAAAAAGAAAAGGAAAGAGGTTTAGCTATTTTTGGAATTTTGGAGAAGTTTTCGAATTCCAAAGTACCCAAATTCAAGATGAGTAGCAAACATGTTTACTCTACGACGAATTTGACAGACGTCCAATTGAAGGAGCAGGGCAATAATCTATTCTCGGCAAGGAAATATGATGATGCCATTAATTGCTATTCCAAGTGCATAGTAAGTGGAAGACATCTTCCGTGGTTAACTTGGAAGAAATGTACAGTTTGGGATTTATATTAATAATGACCTTTAAATTTTGATCACCCTAGATCAAAAATCCAAATAATGCCACCTATTTCACAAATCGTGCCCTGTGCCATCTTAAATTGAAACGTTGGGAGTTATCTTGCCAGGATTGTCGTCGGGCATTGGACATAGATCCGAATATGCTAAAGGCACATTTCTTTCTCGGCCAATGTCTAATGGAAATGGAACTCTACGACGAAGCCATAAAACATTTACAAAGGGGTAAGTGTTTTGTTTTTATTATGGTAATAATTTTCTCTTGGAATCATTGAATTTTGTTTGTTTTCCGTGTATTTTGCTTGTCCAAGCCTTTGATTTGTCCAAGGAACAAAAACAAAACTTTGGCGATGATATAACCTCTCAGCTGCGTTTGGCCCGCAAGAAACGTTGGAATGTCCTGGAGGAGAAGCGTATTTGCCAAGAAATTGAGCTGCAAAGCTATATAAATAGGTATGAAATAATATTATTATGAGTTTCAAAACAAAAAAATTTGAAAAACCCATACTTGATAGACAAAAGAAGTAGCCAGGATAAAGATAATGGGTTGTATATTGCCAAAGAACTTCATCAGTGAGGTACAAAGCCATATAAATAGGTATGAATTAATATGGTATTTTCGAATTGCAAATTCAGGAATTTTAAAAACCTAAAGTTTATAGACAAAAAAAGAAGTAGCCAGGATAATGGGGGTTTCTTTCCCCAAAGAACTTCATCAGCAGGGAGACAATATTGAAATCTTATAAAATGACTATAGTTCAGTCTGTGGTTAGCTATACGGTTTCAGTGTGTTCTCTGGATGTTAGTGTTGCTCAGAGGAATCGATTTAGACATCAGTGGAGCCTTTTATTGAGGAGACATAAAATCTTCACATGCTTTCATTGCAGTATCTCTTCGGGTGTTCTCGTGGGAAAAGAATAACTTAAATGCTACAGAGAGAGAGAGAGAGAGGTCTAAAGCTATAAGATGCATAGTTTACCAGTAGGCAGGTTCAGTTCGTAAATAGGCCATGTCGGTCCACGTTTTCGTATAGCCCCATATAACGGCACCTCCCGATATTCGGTATTTTCATGATTTTGGCGACATTATTTACCGGAATTATTTATAATTTCGTACTTGAAGTTCGTAATGGGTTCTACAGCCTATGACAAAAATTTTTGTATGCAGGTCCAAGTCTTCGTATAGCCCCCATATAACATTGCCTCCCGATATTCGGTTTTTTGATGATTTCAACAACATTATTTACCGGAATCGTTTCAAATTTCGTACTGGAAGATCCAAATGGGTACTACAGGCTATGACAAAAATGTTCGTATGCAGGTCCACGATTTCGTGTAGCCCCCATATAACATTACCTCCCGATATTCGGCATTTTCATGATTTTAGCGACATTATTTACGGGAATCGTTTCAAATTTCGTACTGGAAGATCCAGATGGGTACTACAACCTATGGTAAAAAATTTTGTATGCAGGTTCAAATTTTCGTATAGCCCCCATATAATGGCACCTCCCGATATTCGGTATTTTCATGATTTTAGCGGCATTATTTACCGGAATTATTTATAATTTCGTATTTGAAGTTCGAAATGGGTACTACAGCCTATGACAAAAATGTTCGTATGCAGGTCCACGATTTCGTGTAGCCCCCATATAACATTACCTCCCGATATTCGGTATTTTCATGATTTTAGCGACATTATTTACGGGAATCGTTTCAAATTTTGTACTGAAAGATCCAAATGGGTACTACAACTTATGGCAAAAAAATTTGTATGCAGGTTCAAATCTTCGTATAGCCACCATATAACGGTACCTCCCGATATTCAGTATTTTCTTGATTTTAGCGACATTATTTACCGGAATTATTTAAAATTTCGTATTTGAAGTTGGTAATGGGGGCTACAGCCTATGAGAAAAATTTTCGTATGCAGGTCCACGTCTTCGTATAGTCCCATGTAGCGATTTTCAATTAAGTGGCAGTTTTCGCATTTTTTTGAAAATTTTCAAGTTTCTTTCAAATGGTGGAGGGTACTTAGCTGCTTTTTTACTTGTTTTTAAAATGCATTTATTTATTCTTAGGTTTTTATACATCCTTATATTTTTATTGACTAATATTCGAATTCTTCCATAAATTCCCAGGCTAATAAAAGAAGACATGGAAAATCGTTTGGCCAAACTGAAGCTAGATGACAGCACAAGTGAAGACCAACTAAAAGAAAAGCAACAAGAAATTGAACAAGAATGTGTGAGTAACTTATTTTTATAGATTTTTTTTAAATAACAACATTTCATTTTTCCCCCAAATGTTTAGGATGATCATATCAAGGAGTTGAATAACATCTTTGCCAAAGTTGATGAACGTCGAAGGGTAATATTTAAATAAAGAAAAATTAAAAAAAAATAAGTAAGTATTCCCATTTTATTTGTCCTTTTGCAGAAACGCGAGGTACCCGACTACTTGTGCGGCAAAATCAGTTTCGAAATCCTAACCGATCCTGTCATAACACCATCTGGCATTACCTATGAGCGTAAAGATATCGAGGAGCATTTACAACGTGTTGGCCACTTTGATCCGGTGACACGTGTCAAACTAACACAAGACCAATTAATACCGAATTTTACAATGAAAGAAGTGGTCGATGCTTTTATTGCCGAAAATGAATGGTCCTTGGATTATTAGATGTTAGAGCAAACAAAAACCCCTAGAATTCCCCGAGTATTATATTGATACAATTTTGAGAAATTTTACTTTCATTTGATTTCTTTGAAAAGTTAAAATTTTTTTGATACTTCTCAATTTTATTATATTGGATATATGTAATTAATACTATATTAGATATTTTAAAGATGATTTCTTTGGAATCATTTCTTAACTTTTTGCAAAATTTGCCATCACCAAATTATGCAAATATGTATTTATGTATTCGTTTGTTAGATTAGTTTTTCCTTATCACTCTGGTTCACTAAATATTCCTCCTAACTTCAATTGTTGACTGGTTTTACAATTAGATATCATATAGGAAATAAGCAATAAAAATACACACACATATTGATTTCTGAAGATGTAATGTGAAATATTTTTTGATTTAAATTCGGGAACTGAGAAGACAATCAAATTGCTTACCTAAAAAAATTACTACTCGAAGATTTCTGATGCAACAAAAAACTGTCCCTGTCTCGCTACAGGAATTTAGGAACAATCTTAAGTCAAAAGCACTGATTTCCTACTTCTTTGAAGATGAAAAACCGTCTAAATGGGGAAAAAAAATTCAAAAATCCCAGTATTTTGCCTTACGAACTTGACAATACGTGGTGCATTAACTAATAATCAATGGCAGCTTCATTGATTTTCTTTACAGTTTGAAAGCCTTTGAAGGTTGTTTCTCGATCTAGTAATCCCTGCACAGAGATCGTTACTTTGAACCGCTTTAAAAACTTTCATAGCATCATTTGCATGAAGCATTCACTATAATTCAAAGTTTGATTATTTTATTTAATTTAATAACAGTTTAAAAAACTTTGCCATAAATCAGGCATTATCATGAATAAACTAAAAATTTTCCATGTTTTTTGCCGTCGCTTTTCAATCTGTTTTTCCTTGCCAAATGTTGCCGCTCTTTGGATTATATGGAGATATATTGGAGACTCCAAAATATAATTTTTAACTTTTGAAAATTTGGTATATACGTTTTATAAGCTTTAAAATAATTGTTTTACACAAACGATGTGTTTTTCTATTCTTTAAAAGATTGTTTAAGACTCGAACTACTGATTCCTATATTTAAATCAGCTGCCCGGCTTTATAGTTTGTTGTCAATTCACAAGGAATGCCACTCTCTTTAAAAGGGCCAAAGCAAGACATTTACTATTTAATAATAAATGTTACAAAAATGGCAATTTTCTGATCATTTGTGCTAATTTCTAGCCCAAAATTATCACATCAATGAATCTGCCTGTTGGAAGAGTTGAATTTAATGCGAATTTAATGAATTTATTTGTCTGCTATCATTTAACTTGGGATAGCATGGAAGAAGAAGCATTGTGTTTATAAACGTTCGTGCGGCTGAGTCCTTCCGAGTTTGTGCAAAATAAATAATTCATTTTCCAGGAAACCTACGAAATAAAGCCCTATCGGTTGCTCCAAATTTTCAATAACTGCTATTGGACATTATGTTTTGAAGGACTTTGCATCCAACTGGAGTTTGGTTAACATACAAAATTTAGAGGTTTCTATTGTCAACTAGGAGGTGCAAAAATCATGGGCGACGAGGAATATGAACGTTTCGAAATAACCGATTATGATTTGGAAAACGAATTCAATCCAAATCGTTTTAGGAAAAAGCAAAGTAAACAGCAGGCAATTTACGGTAAGTTAAGATGACCAAATTGAATTCAACTACAAATCTTCAAAAACATTTTTTTTAATTCTTTGCAAGGCATTTGGGCTGATGACAGTGACAAGGATGATGACGATGAAGAGACATCTGGTCGCGGACGCAAGGGACGTCGTCGCATGGGTCTGGGTGGTGGTCCATCGGGAAGCAGATCCAAAGATTATACAGCACCAGTAAGTTTTGTGGCCGGTGGCATACAACAGGCTGGCAAGAAAAATAAAGCCAAAGGCGAGGAAAAAGATGATGACCGAGATTCAGACGATGCCGAAAATCCCATTACCGATGAGGAGGATGAATTGAATGCCCATCCTGGTTTTGGTGCTGGTCAAAGGCCGACACTAATGGATGCCGAATCACCACATACTAGTGAAGATTCTGAAGAGGAACCAGAACGTAGAATGCCACCACCATCGAAGTCCAGTTTTAAGCAACAGACCGGTCACCTTAAAGTTGGTGCCTGGGAGCAGCATACCCGTGGCATTGGTGCCAAGTTATTGTTACAAATGGGTTACAAACCTGGCATGGGTTTGGGTAAAGATCTGCAGGGTATTTCCCAGCCTGTAGAGGCTCATGTACGCAAGGGCAGAGGTGCGATTGGTGCTTATGGCCCTGAAACGGCGGCCAGTGTGGGTGGTAAAGGGGTAAGTTAGAAAAGGATTGGTATAGCGTATATGCAACTAATGGATATGTAAATTCTGTAGCACGCTCCCAAAATCGATGAAGATGTCCGCGAGGCAAAGGAATTCAAGGAGAAATTAAATAAGTGGAAGAAGGGAGGAGATGGTCGTTCCGATAAAAATGCTAAACGTTACTATTACAAATCTGTCGAAGAGGTCCTGGAGAAGGGCAAAAGCTCGAATTTCATTATTGGCGATAAGATTAGGTTAGAGATTAGAAAAAAAATTTATTTCTTGTGACTCTGACCAGAGCTCAATTATCTCTGACCGGAAGTAATTGATCTCTGGCCACAGGTTATTGATATCTGGTTCGGGATCGTTGATCTCTAATCTGGATCATTGAACTCTGATACGGGGTCATTGATTTCTGACCAGAGGTCATTGATTTCTGACCAGAGGTCATTGATCTCTGACCAGAGGTCATTGATCTCCGACCAGAGGTTATTGATCTCTGACCGGAGGTCATTGATCTCTGACCAGAGGTCATTGATCTCTGACCAGAGGTCATTGATCTCTGACCGGAGGTCATTGACTTTTGACCAGAGGTCATTGATCTCTGACCAGAGGTCAGTGATCTACGGCCATAGTCCATTGATCTCTGACCAGAGGTCATTGATCTCTGACTAGAGGTCATTGATATCTGACCAGAGGTCATTGATGTCTGACTAGAGGTCATTGTTATCTGACCAGAGGTCATTGATCTTTGACTAGAGGTCATTGATATCTGACCAGAGTTCATTGATCTCTGACAAGAGGTCATTGATATCTGACCAGAGGTCACTGATCTCTGACCAGAGGTCATTGATCTCTGACCAGAGGTTATTGATCTCTGACCAGATGTAGTTGATCTCTAACCAGAGGTCATTGATCTCTAACCAGAGGTCAATGATCTCTGACTATAGGTCATTGATCTCCGACCAGAGGTCGTTGATTTTTGATTCGGGTTCATTGATGTCTGATTGATCTCTGACCAGAGGTCATTGACTTCTGACTAGAGGTCGTTGATCTCTGACAAGAGCTCATTGACCACTGATTGGGGTCATTGATCATCACAGGACATTGATTTCTAATCAGAAGTCACGGATCTCCGATGAAAGGTCATTTATTTTTGACCAGTTTTCTAAAGTTCTCTTTGCCAATCTCCTTATTTTCAGCAAAAAGCTTGGCAATGTCCCTGTCATCGATATGACGGGCCCCGAGAAACGTGTCCTAAGCGGTTATCACGCCCTTGGCCAGTCAAAAGTTATGGAAGAAGATCTCTATGATGCGGTACAGGAAACACAGCCCAAGAAAACAACAGCCACATTTCAATTACCCGAACTTATGCACAATCTTTCGCTTATAGTTAATATGTGTGAACAGGATATTATCTCGCTGGATACGGCAGAGAATAATGCCAATGAACGCTACACGGCCTTGGAACAGGAAAAGAAGCAGTTGGAAGAAATTGTTAGCTTAGAAAGAAATCACATCAATACCTTGGATCATGTTCTATCCATGGTTGATGAACTAACTGCGGGTGGCGAAGATTTGAAGTTGTCACGGGCCGAAGAAATATTCTTGGAGTTACAGACAAATTACGCCGCCGAATATAAACAATTCGGTTTAGATGATTTGGCAGCTGGGGTAATAGCTCCTCTGCTGAAGCAACATTTGGCCGAATGGAAACCCCTGGAGGCTCCCACACAATATGTGGATGTTATAAAGAAATGGCGTACCATATTGGATGTCCAGAATGAGGATAACTCGGAGAAACGTTCAAATATTTTTGATCCTTACTCCTCGCTGATTTGGGCTGGCGTAATACCAAGTTTCCGTTCATGTGCTGAATTTTGGGATCCCAAACATCATCAGTCGATGGCAGCTCTGCTGGATTGTTGGGCACCGCTCTTCCCCTCTTGGATATTGGATTCAGTGTTGGAACAATTAGTGCTGCCACGTTTAAGTGCCGGTGTCCGGCAATGGGATCCCTTGACTGACACCGTGCCCATACACATTTGGATTTTACCATGGAATGCAATTTTGGGTCATAAAATGGAGGAATTTATCTATCCCACAATACGTGAAAAATTGGGTAATGCTTTGCGTGCCTGGTTGCCACAGGATCGTTCGGCCCGGGCCATGCTTACGCCATGGAAGGGGGCATTCGATGATCATCAAATGCAGCTGTTCCTGCTGACCCATATTATACCCAAGCTGCAAATGGTCTTGAATGAGTTCATCATAAATCCCCTGCAACAGGATTTGGGTAAGTGGCAGAGTTTTTTTTCTTTTAATTATTTAACGATCTTTTAAAAATGTTTTTAATTTGTTTAGAACCCTGGAACCAGGTCTATGAATGGCATGAATTGATACCACCCGGCCAAATGGCCCAATTGCTGGATAAATTCTTCTTTCCCAAATGGATGCAGGTATTGGTCATGTGGCTCAATCAATCACCAGATTATGTGGAAATTTCCCGCTGGTATAGCGGCTGGAAAAGTATGTTTTCCGAAGAGCTATTGCGTGAGACCTGCATAAAAGAACATTTACGTCGTGCCCTGGAAATGATGCATCGTGCCACAGATCAAGTGGCAAATGTGCCGTCAAATTTGACATCAACACCTACAATGACCACAAGTACACCACCACCACCTCAGCCACCGCCACCTCCAATCTTATTAAATATGGATATGTCTGGTGCTGCCCCCGTACAATTGGAATTCAAGGAATTGGTTTCACGCAAATGTGCCGAACGGGGTATACTCTTTGCCCCGTTGCCGGGCCGCCGTGAAATGGGCAAACAAGTCTATCGTGTTGGCAAATTATATTGCTATATAGATCGTAATGTTTGTATGATAACCGATAGTACGTTTAAGAATTGGATACCCACACCGCTGCAGCCAATGTTGGAACGTGCTGTGACGGGAGTTTTAAATTGAAGATTGGCGTTAAGTTAGAAAAAATGAATATTAATTAAGTTTTAATAAACATTAGCGTTCACATACTGTAAGTGAAGAGCCTAGGGAGGTGTCTTCTTCAGTTGCTAACTTGTAGCTCAAAATCTGTTTTGTAATGTCCACATTGACCCAATGTAGGATTGTGCAGTCATTGGTATTGCAACATGCGTTTAAGGTCGTTGTTGTCATCGTCGTATGTTAATGGCAATTTGGCAATTTGGCCATTAAGCTTTGTAGGCAATTCGGCCATCATAATTGTGAACATAATTCCAGGTAATTTTTGCAAAATCATCATCAGTCATAGACTTATTGCTTTTATCTTTCGCACTCATAAACTTGTTAGCACAGTAAAAGACGGAATGGCTTACGTAGGGGGGACAAGCAATAGGTTTCACACAAAAGGTACATATTGTGGGGCGAGTTTTAAGGTATCATATCCGATTTCTGGTTAAGAGAAATAAATTTAGATATAGCAACTTGTGAAGTTGTTTCGCAAGTTATGACAGATATATGTATTGGAAATTGTGACCATTTGTGGGAGAGGTACCAGAAGGGGTTGGCAGATGTATATCAACTTCACAACAGATCTTGTGTTAGCAAAAATATTTGGATGTGTGAAATTTGAAGAGAGTTGAATGCTTATAGGGCTTTTTTTGAGCGTTTTGTTTTCCGAAATTTTTACCACAAGAAATGGTCCGATCTGTACCATATTTATAACAGATCTTGTGTTGATGGAAATATTGAGATTTGCCAAGTCTGAATGGAAACGGATGTAAATTTCGTGCGTTTTATGAGCTTCGTGGATACGCAAAATTTTTACCCTTTGTGGGAGAGGTGTCAGATGGAGTGGATCGATATATTCCAATTTCACACCAGATCTTGTGTTAGTAGAAATAATGGGATGTGTGTAATTTGAAGAGAAACGGATGCTTATTTCGGATTTTATGATCGTTTTGGTTATTCAAAACTTTGACCCTTTGTGGGGGAGGTACCAGAAGAAATTGTCCGATCGTTATCATCTTTATAAAAAATCTTGTGTTGATGGAAACATTGAGATGTACCACGTTTGAATGGAATCCTATGTTAATTTCGCGATTTATGAAGTTCGTGGATACTCAAAATTTTGAAACCTTTGTTGGGGAGGTACCAGAAGGAGTGGACCGATATATCCCAATTTCACACCAGATCTTGTGTTAGGAGATATAATGGGATGTGTGTAATTTGAAGAGAATCGGATACTTATTTTAGATTTTATGATCATTTTGGTTATTCAAAATTTTGACGCTTTGTGTGGGAGGTACCAGAAGGAATGGTCCGATCTCTATCGTCTTTATAACAGATCTTGTGTTGATGGAAATATTGAGATTTGCCAAGTCTTAATGGAAACGGCAGTAAATTTCGTGCGTTCTATGAGCTTCGTGGATACGCAAAATTTTTACCCTTTGTGGGGGAGGTACCAGAAGGAGTGGACCGATATATTCCATCTTCGCATCAGATCTTGGGTTAATAAAAATATTGTGATGTGTGTAATTTGAAGAGAACCGGATACTTATTTCAGATTTTATGATCATTTTGGTTATTCAAAATTTTGACGCTTTGTGTGGGAGGTACCAGAAGGAATGGTCCGATCTGTACCATCTTTATAACAGATCTTGTATTGACGGAAACGTTGAGATGTACCAAGTCTGAATGGAATCGGATGCTTATTTCAGGTTTTATGATCGTTTTGGTTATTCAAAACTTTGAAGCTTTGTGTGGGAGGTACCAGAAGGAATGGTCCGATCTCTACCATCTTTGTAATAGATCTTGTGTTGATGGAAACATTGAGATGTACGAAGTCTGAATGGAATCGGATGTTAATTTCGCGATTTATGAAGTTCGTGGATTCTCAAAATTTTGAAACCTTTGTGGGGAAGGTACCAGAAGGATTGGCCCGATTCATCCCATCTTCACACCAGATCTTGTGTTAGGAGATATAATGGGATGTGTGTAATTTGAAGAGAATCGGATGCTTATTTCGGATTTTATGATCGTTTTGGTTATTCAAAACTTTGACCCTTTGTGGGGGAGGTACCCGAAGGAATGGTCCGATATGTACCATCTTTATAACATATCTTGTGTTGATGAAAATATTGAGATGTGCCAAGTCCGAATGGAATCGCATGTTAATTTCGCGCTTTATGAGCTTCGTGGATACTCAAAATTTTGACCCTTTGCAGGGGAGGTACCAGAAGGAGTGGACCGATATATCCTAATTTCACACCAGATCTTCAGAAAGTAGAAATAATGGGATGTGTGAAATTTGAAGAGAATCGGATACTTATTTCAGATTTTATGATCATTTTGGTTATTCAAAATTTTGACCCTTTGTGTGGGAGGTACCCGAAGGAATGGTCCGATCTCTACCATCCTTTTAACATATCTTGTATTGGTGGAAATATTGAGATGTACCAAGTCTGAATGGAATCGGATGTTATTTTCGCGTTTTATGAGCTTCATGTATATTCAAAACTTTGACGCTTTGTGGGGGAGGTACCCGAGGGAGTGGACCGATATATCCCAATTTCACACCAGATATAGGGTTAATAAAAATATTGTGATGTGTGTAATTTGAAGACAATCGGACACTTATATCACATTCTGTAAGAGTCATAATTATTCAAAATTTTACCCTTTGTGGGGGAGGTACTTGGTGGAGTGGGCCGATATTGTCCATTTTCCCACCTGACCTAGAACTGATGTAAATATTAGGATTTGCAAAGTTTGAGCAAAATCGGATTATCCTTTCTCTTTCTGTGCAGAAAATAATTGTTTTTTGAAAATTTCGACATTTTGTGTGGGAGGTACCAGAAGCCGTGAACCGATATATTCCATCTTCACACCAGATTATGGGATAATAAAAATATTGTGTCGTCTGTAATTTGAAGAGAATCGGACACTTATATCGCATCCTATAAGAGTTATATTTATTCAAAATTTTGACCCTTTGTGGGGGAAGTACTTGATGGAGTGGGCCGATATTGTCAATTTTCCCACCTGACCTAGAACTGATGTAAATATTAGGATTTGCAAAGTTTGAGCAAAATCGGATTATCCTTTCTCTTTCGGTGCAGATAATATATTTTTTGAAAATTTCGACGTTTTGTGTGGCAGGTACCAGAAGGAGTGGACCGATATATTCGAACTTAACACTAGACCTTGGGTTAATAAAAATATTGTAATGTCTGTAATTTGAAGACAATCGGACACTTATATCACACCCTATAAGAGTTATAATTATTCAATATGTTGACCCTTTGTGGGGAAGGTACCTGATGGGATGGCCCGATATTGTCCATTTTCCCACCTGACCTAGCATTGATGTAAATATTAGGATTTGCAAAGTTTGAGCAAAATCGGATTATCGTTTCTCTTTCCATGCAGAAAATATATATTTTGAAAATTTCGACGTTTTGTATGGGAGGTACCAGAAGGATTGGACTGATATTTCCCATTTCCGAATTCGATCTAAGTTTCACAATAATATTACGATGTACTAAGTTTGGATCAAACCGGATACTCCCTTCCAGAGTTATCGTGCGCCCCATCCAGCCAGACGGACGGACTCACGGACATAGCTAGATCGACTCCAAATGGAACGTTATTTCAATGAGGTACGTTTTTGGCCGTATCAAATGATATATACCCTCTCTAGCCATATATGGCTGAGGGTAAAAAATCTATAATCCTGAACCGATAACTCATCATAAAATATTTTCATTTTTGAAAAATCTGACACAGATCTCAAGATAACCCAAATAACTTGAAACCCCTCTGGGGCCTTACCCAATAAAATTTAAAGTACCACTTAAATTTTCTTATCTCCAAAAACCTTTACCCCTTTTATTTCTGAGAAAATCAATGTAACTGAAATCGCTGATATTGGGTGACTAAATAAATTATATCAATTACCGGTTAACAGCCATGTCGTAAATTCGAAATCACCTAATTTGCAGATAACAGTTTTGAGACATAATAGAACATTATGATTGGAAGTAATAGTTTCGGAATTTAATCAAAAAGGCAGCATGTTTTTAGATATTTCACGCACCTATTGCATTTTTTCTGAACTAATCTAATCGCAAGCAAGTCGAAGTGGATTCGTAACTTATCTGTTGGAAATATTCAACGTAATTGTTTTAATTTTTTTTTTTTTCGAAGAAAGAAATCAATTTTCTACAAACATGGAGAAAGTACGAAGCAAAGACTGAAAGTTCTGGAGGGATGGATTTTTTGTGAAACCTTTAGGGAAGGTCAATAAACAAGGATTTTTTCAAGGTAAGTAGAGGCTACTTTAGAAGGCCAATGAATGATTTTTAATTAGCCATAATTTTTGTAATTTTTTTAGGAAATCTAAAGAGGATTCGGACATGGAATTTCGAGAGTATTTTAAGAAGGCCTTAAATGGGGACGAAAAAAGCGATTTCGAAGCTTCTTCGATCAATATCACTTCTAAGAATACTTTAAGAAAACATGGCAGATTTAAATGCACCTGGATAGCTGTTTTCAAAGAATTTTGGATATCCGATACATTTTAAGAAGACTCTGAAAGGTCTTTACATTTGGATTTCCGATACATTTTAATGAGACTCTAAAAGGTCTTTAAATTTGGGCCTTTGAAGAGCTTTTGAGAAGACTCAAAAAGACCTGTAAACCAGGATTTTTTAAAAGTATATGAGAGGAACCTGATGGTGCTATATCAACTTTTAACTACTTCTATATCTTTAATATTTTAGGGAATGCAAAAAAGGACTTGGAAAGCAACTCAAAAAAGAGAACTTTGAACGTCAAGACATGGACATGTCGAGAGTATTCTATAAAGTCCTATGAACCAATTTTTTTTAAGTATTTGAGAGGAACCAGAAGATGCTATATCAACATTCAACTACTTCTAAATCTGTGATGTTTTGGGGAATGTAAAAAAGGACTTGGAAAGGAATTCAAAAAAAAAAAAAAAATGAGAACTTTGAACGTCACGACATGGACATGTCGAGAGTATTTCATAAAGGCCTTGATTGTGGATGTAGAAAAGATTTCGAAGGTTTTTCGATCAATAC